TGTCCCAGTCCCTCCCAGTCCCCCCCAGTCCCTCCCAGTCCATCCCAGTCCCCCCCAGTCCCTCCCAGTTTACCCCAGTTTATCCCAGTACCGTGTAGTGCAGGGTGAGCACGTCCCCCCTCCACGATCTCTCCCCGCAGCGCTCCCAGTTTGTCCCAGTCCCTCCCAGTTTATCCCAGTCCCTCCCAGTCCCCCCCAGTCCATCCCAGTCCATTCCAGTTTATCCCAGTCCCTCCCCCAGTCCCTCCCAGTTTATCCCAGTCCATCCCAGTCCCTCCCAGTCCCTCCCAGTCCCCCCCAGTCCCCCCAGTACCGTGTAGTGCAGGGTGAGCACGTCCCCCCTCCGCGATCTCTCCCCGCAGCGCTCCCAGTCCCTCCCAGTCCATCCCAGTCCCCCCCAGTCCCTCCCAGTTTACCCCCGTTTATCCCAGTACCGTGTAGTGCAGGGTGAGGACGTGTACCGTGTAGTGCAGGGTCAGCACGTCCCCCCTCCGCGATCTCTCCCCGCAGCGCTCCCAGTCCCTCCCAGTCCCTCCCAGTTTGTCCCAGTCCCTCCCAGTTTGTCCCAGTTTGTCCCAGTCCCTCCCAGTTTACCCCAGTTCCCCCAGTACCGTGTAGTGCAGGGTCAGCACGTCCCCCCTCCGCGATCTCTCCCCGCAGCGCTCCGGGCGCCGCCTGACCCCGATCTGCACCTTGCGGGGCTCGGCCGCCAGGGGGCGCTCGGGGGGCAGCGCCAGCGCCAGCGCCAGCAGCAGCCACTGGGGGGCGACACGCGCCATTAGCGTCATTAGTGTCACCTTAGTGTCACCTTAATGGGACCCTGAGTGACCCTGAATGTCCCTGAGTGACCCTGAGTGTCACCCTGTGTCACCTCAGTGTCACCCTGAGTGTCCCCCTGTGTCACCCTGTGCACTGACAGCGCCAGCAGCAGCCACTGGGGGGCGACACGTGCCGTTAATGCCACCTCAGTGTCACCTGATGTCACCCAGCGTCACTGAACGTCATCACTGTCACTCATTGCCGTTTATTGTCGCCTTCACCGTCACTCATTGTCACCTATTGTCACTGTTACCGCCCTTTATGGCCGCTCCGGTGTCCCCGCTGTCCCCGCTGTCCCCTCGGTGTCGCCCCCGACAGCGCCAGCACAGCCGCTAGGGGGCGACACGCGCCATTAGCGTCATTAGTGTCATTAGTGTCACCTTAATGGGACCCTGAGTGACCCTGAGTGACCCTGAGTGACCCTGAGTGTCACCCTGTGTCACCTCAGTGTCACCCTGAGTGTCCCCCTGTGTCACTGACAGCGCCAGCAGCAGCCACTGGGGGGCGACACGCGCCATTAGCGTCATTAGTGTCACCTTAGTGTCACCTTAATCTGACCCTGAGTGACCCTGAGTGTCACCTTGTGTCCCCCTGTGTCACCCTGTGTCACCCTGAGTGTCCCCCTGTGTCACTGACAGCACCAGCAGCAGCCACTGGGGGGCGACACGCGCCATTAGTGTCATTAATGTCACCTTAGTGTCACCTTAATGGGACCCTGAGTGACCCTGAGTGACCCTGAGTGTCACCCTGTGTCACCCTGTGTCACCTCAGTATCACCCTGAGTGTCACCCTGAGTGACCCCCTTGTCACCCTGTGTCACCTCAGTGTCACCCTGTGCACTGACAGCACCAGCAGCAGCCACTGGGGGGCGACACGCGCCATTAGCGTCATTAGTGTCATTAGTGTCACCTTAATGGGACCCTGAGTGACCCTGAGTGACCCTGAGTGACCCTGAGTGTCACCCTGTGTCACCCTGTGTCACCTCAGTATCACCCTGAGTGTCACCCTGAGTGACCCCCTTGTCACCCTGTGTCACCTCAGTGTCACCCTGTGCACTGACAGCACCAGCAGCAGCCACTGGGGGGCGACACGCGCCATTAGCGTCATTAGTGTCATTAGTGTCACCTTAATGGGACCCTGAGTGACCCTGAGTGACCCTGAGTGACCCTGAGTGTCCCTGAGTGACCCTGAGTGACCCTGAGTGACCCTGAGTGTCCCCCTGTGTCCCCCTGTGCACTGACAGCACCAGCAGCAGCCACTGGGGGGCGACACGCGCCATTAGTGTCATTAGTGTCACCTTAGTGTCACCTTAATCTGACCCTGAGTGACCCTGAGTGTCACCTTGTGTCCCCCTGTGTCACCCTGTGTCACCCTGAGTGTCCCCCTGTGTCACTGACAGCACCAGCAGCAGCCACTGGGGGGCGACACGCGCCATTAGTGTCATTAATGTCACCTTAGTGTCACCTTAATGGGACCCTGAGTGACCCTGAGTGACCCTGAGTGACGACCGGTATGGA